GTCCTTGAGCTTAGGGAATTCCGGATTATTTTGTTAACTGAAGTAGCTCACTAGTTCACGAACTGTTAAGTTAAGCAACCTCTGGTTTTCTTTTACTTTGCTAGTAAAAGTGATTGAGGCGAAATTGTCTATCAGGACCGAAGTTTAATCCTACTAATTATTTTTCTACCTAAGATCGCCATTTAGTTAAAGGGTTTTAAAGCACATTAAAACTTGGGTGATTTTTGGCATTTTTCTTTCTTTACAAGAGAATATTGGATAGGGGCGAAATATTTCATCATCCATTTCCTCTTGTATACTCAAAGGTTTCGAAAGATAATGTCTTCAAAAATTGACTTGCGTTTCTGAGAAACAATCTGTCGTACATCCGCTCTAGCTCTAGCTCTAGCTCGTGGAGGCAGTGTGGCTGAGTGGTTAGAGTGTCGGACTTGTAATCCGCCGCTCCCGGGTCCGAGTCCCACCCTGACCACTGGATCTGTTTCACGGTAGCCCCGAGTTCAGATCCTTGGCCACGCTTGTAAATAGCCAACTGGTTTGCCTCCGGCTGGTTGGGGTTCTTAATGATGTCACGTTCAATTTAGACCATTTGTTTCATTTGTTTGCAAGGACCACAATGGAAACTACTGGTTCACCAGTAATTGTGTAATCCTATAAAAAGACTTTTTTTTTATCTACTTACGAAGGGCCCCTTTTAATACCAGCTTATGGCCGCTGACGGGACTACCCTCGCCTAAATAAAGATGACTTGACTCGATCCACTCTTCGAACAACCGGGAAAGAGATCGTACAGAAATTAACGGGTAGGTTGATCAAAAAGCTCCATACTATTAGCAAATAGCGTTCCAAGTTGCGACCGTCGTAATTGCCATGGCGAGTGAAAAATATATATGGCGACTAACGTTCCAACAAAAGTCGCCAATTGGCGACCAACAGATTGAAAAAAAAAAAGGATAAGAAAATTTTGTGGGTCCTTGGTTGGATTATCAAACAAACAAACGCAAACAAACCGTTCCGCAACTCCTAAAAATGAGCAGTCAAGTGATCAAGTCGAACTAAGGTCGCCAAAAGGCGACTTTTGGAAATGTTTAAATTTGGAGCTCAAGGAAAGAAAATTTCTCATTCACATACTTGGAGATGCTGTTGAATTTGTTGTTCAGAGGCGTCTTTCTTCACTGAAACACTGCACGAGGGGACGGAAAGATAAAACTTTTAATCAATGTTAGTATCGAGCACTGATGCACTCTCAGGCTTGTATTGCTCTGAAATATCACTAAACTTGAAAACAGGGTTTGTATTTATTCGAAGGCAATGCTTGGTCAACAGGGGCACAAATTAATACACTATCCANAAAAAGCAGTTCAATTTTCAGGAAGGTAAAAAAAAAATGTCATTTTAACTGAGAACAACATGTAACTGAAACACTTTCACAAGTATGTATTTCTTCACTCATGTCAAGTATGTGTATTGTTTGAGTTTGTACTACTCATGGCAAATTAGAATTTTATTTTTCTTGGGGCCACATTATATTATGTTAATACAATATCACATCTTGGATAAGAGAAAGTGTAATTTATAACAAAATTGTACTCGCCAAAAACTACATGTCCTACAAACTATGCAATAAGATGTTGTCATTATAGATAGTTACCAAGTCTCTATGCAGAACCCAGTTAGAATGAAGATAATGGATGCCATCCAATATCTGATAGAGCAAAGACTTAACCATTCCTTTGGGAACAGGGACAGCCTTCTTTTGGGCCTTGGATGCTCTATGATATTTGATGATGTGCTTTGGGAACAGATGAAAAGAAAATACCACAGTACACATAATCTAAAGGATTCACCTTGAAGTATTCATCAAAAAAATCACGGTATGCACAATTGGTTATCCTTTCAAATGGAAATGTGTTCTTTTTTTCAGGAAGTCACAGTACTTGTAAAATTTACCACCTTCAGTATTTCTTAGTATTGCCCAAAAATTGCTTGGAATTCTTGAAAATTCAGCCACTAAAGGGTTCCTCTACCAGTTTGAAAATTTCTCATACAGTGTACCTGTAGTCCTTAAAATTAGGGAAAACACTGGTTATAAGCTACATGTGAAAAGACAAAAGCTCAGCTATTTAGATATTTGTGCATGTTTTTCTTCTCACGGGATGAATTTTGGTTGAAAAAAATCCAAAGCTAAAAAAGAAGATTTACCACTCACCCATAGATCGTGCTCTGCAAAATCAAAAAGAAGCCAAACTTTCCTATCAGCATGCGACAGAAACACACGTTGCAAGGCAATTACATTTGGATGTTTCAACTCTCTAAGAAGCTGAATAAAAAAAAATACATGAAAACATTATCACAAGGTATGATCACAAATGTGATGTCTGACTTATAATCTCCACTTTTTTAGGCTATAACCAATAGAAAAAAATTAAAACAAAACTGGTTCGCGCACACATGTACACGATTACTTCGAATTCGTGTTTTTATTCATTTGCCGACAACATAAATGTCTTGATGACTCACTGCTATCTCACGGCAAGCTGACATCGAGATCCCGGTTCCTTCGATCTGCTTAAGGGCGAAATATTTCCCATTTGGACTGGCAAGAAAAGCAAACAAAACCAATAAGACGACTGTAAAATAACGAATTGATGTAAACAGCCTCGAATGCAATTAGCACTTGTGTATGTTCTTACCAATCTTTTTGTTTAGCTTTATAAACGTGTCCATAGGTTCCTCGACCTACTTTGCAACCTTCAAAATCAAATTTATCCTCTACTCTTTCCCTCTGCTCGTTCGTTTTCAGTTTAAATTCAAAATCCATGACTGAAAAACAAATACTTCTTTCATGGGCCAACATAAACTGCCGCCATGTTTTTATTATCCTTGATGAGCCTCGATTTTGTGTTGCTGTGCTACATCGCTGGTTTCCAGTCTCTACAAGATAAAAACAACTACAGACACAAACTTTGCAAAATTTCCTCAGCAGAATCAAACTTTGCGGCTGCCTTCCATGAAGGAAGGGATTTAATTTTACAATATATATATGCAAATTTTTTAATGCAGACTGGTTGTTTGTTCAAGTTATTACCGTTGTTGTTGTGGTAATCGTTATTTGTTCCTCAGCACAGGACACATCGTCGTTGGGTCTACTAAGCAAGGCCAAGCGAATTTGAACTTTTACATCTTAGCCTCCCGTCCCCGGAAAATTTTCTCATTCACTGTCTAGCCCCCGGTAAGTGGTCTAGCTGCCAGTTCTGGGAAAGATCTATTGTCATTTCTATTTCCGGGAACCAAGTGTTCACTTCATAACAAATGATGGCGGCATTTGCGTTTGCACACCCGCGAGATTTACTTACTTGCGATATCATCCAGAAATACGAATCCGTGAAAGAAAGTAATGCAACCACAAGAAAGAAGAAAAGATGGTGTGAGGGTTTAGAGCAAAACATAAAACAGATCTATCCAAATCGAAAACTTATCTTGGTCGGGTCTTCGACAACAAGCTTTGCAATCGAAGGTTGTGATGTCGACTTGGCCCTCATTCGTACGGAAAGCCAAACATTTTACGACTTTGAGTCGGGATTACAGATTCTGAGTCGAATCCGAGGTGCTTTGAACTCAAGACCATCATTGAATACTGAGGTAAGGTTTTCAACCGATCACACTTGTAATACTTGGGGTACTTGTTTGTAAATATTAATCATGCGTCAGCTTATTATGCAATTTCTTGCAGAATAATGTTCAACTTTTAAGCATTCAAATATTGTCGCTTGTATGCGACGTACTGTTTTGAGGAAATTGAAGTCTTTTTGCTGAAATAAGATTACAACGAAATCAGTAGTTTCGATGCGTCATGTCTTGACTTGTCCTTGACCAAGGCTGACATCATGTAAGTCTCGCTTGAAATAACTCTGCAAAATACTTCCCAAGTTATGCAAGGGAGATTTTCAAGAATTAGCAAAATTCTCCGGACTTGATCAGTGAATAAACTCGCGGGCTAATTTCAGTGAAAGAAGTCCTATTTTGAACCACTGAAATACCGTGATTTATGACACTATCGATTTGCTAATTCCCGCACAATTCTCTCGCTAACAACGGTGGTGTAATTCTTATTACAAATCAAGTTTTTTCAGTTGCTTGCGAACACTACCATTTCATTGTAGACTCAATAGCCACCATCTCTTATCTCAAAACGATCGCTGCAATATTATGTACAGAAATTCAACCTTTTACTAATGTTTAGTTTCTGGGTTTCATATCTCACGCGATGTGGCCTTCACTGATCAATACCTTAGATATTTGTATTAAATTTCCTTTTTGAGACCTACAATTCTTTCTCTCTATTTCGATTAGAATCACATAGTACCTCAAACTCTTCTATGGTATAGGCTGCCGTTGCATATCAAACATTTCCGCAGAACAAGAGCAGAACGGCAGACTAAACGACAGAAAGAGTGAACTTCCACACTTACAAATGTTCGGCGCTCGCCCTTTTTCAGAACTCGCTCTCACGGTTGAAGCCATGCCTCGATGGTCTTACACAGATATAATTGAATTTCACTGAAAGAACGTGGGGGTGCATTATCTTTTTCTGCAAAGCAATCTTATCATGTGCTTGTCGAGTAAACATGGCAGGTGTAGTACGTGCAAGCTGGGAAGTCTTTTCGACCTCTTTGCTTTTCTCAGCAAGTATTCTTTTAATCTTGAGACTAACTTAAAAAAAAAATTGTTCGAGGCCCTGTGGAAGAAGTATATAGCCATGGTTGAGGAAGATATATCTCTTTGAATTCGTACTTGCGATGTTTTAATTTTTTTTTAATTAATCATTGAACCAGTAAGATAAAAGTTCGGTATACATTTTGAATTGCCATTGCGTGTACTAATACGAGGTTGCAGATGAGAAGAATTGATGCCTACAAAGCTAATAATACTTCCACAAGTTCTATTTGCTTCAAAGTCATGCTAATAAAAGAATTAATAACATTCAGCTTTAAATTTTTCAATGCATTTTAGTCCATAGTTCCGTTGAGAAAGTTTTCCTTCTTCCTCTTTGCACAACCCAAGAATCTAACTTCTCATTTAACCAACAATTTCAGCTGATTAGTTCTGCAGTTGTTCCCATCTTAAAACTCAAAGACTGCAGTGAAGGATTCGAGGGAGATATCAGTGTTGATGTCCAGAATGCCATATTCAATACATATCTGCAAAAGTGTTATGGCAGAATGGATCCCAGGGTCCCTCCTTTAGTGGTGACCATCAAGTACTGGGCTCAAGTATCTGGAATCACTGGAGCGCTTTACCACAAACTTTCTGGTCAGTGACGTGCGTGACTACTTACTTAACCACAGTTCTTTACTGTT